CTCTTTTATGCTTCGTGTGATTTTACTTATCAACTGTCATCATGACAATGTTATGGAAGGGAGTGCCGGTGCTGTTAGTCGGAGCTATCGACGGAGGCTGCCATTTCCGCCTCCTCACCGACATCATATCTGCCCGTGAGAATGCGACGGCTGTGCAGGCTGCTATGGGAGGCATCAAAGAGAAAGCAACTGCCATCGGAGTGGACCACTCACGACTAATATTATTCGCAGCCTGCAAATTGCAGGTTCTGCATCCATCTTCAGCAAGGCTTGGGAAGAGGTGAGCTCAGCTCACTGAGCTGTATAAGCCTGTAGCCGTAGAAGCAGTAGTCATCAATTCTAAACAATGCGTTTTCGAGAAATAGTGCCAGTTGACTGGCGAGTTCAGTAACTAAGCTCACCACTCAAACCAAACTTTGGTCTGTATCACTAATTGTCCGAGCTCTATGGACTCATTCTCTATGAAACGTATAAATGTTACGTAAGCTGAGAATGACATAAGTCGATTGAGACAGATGTATGTCTACTACGTATGTGGTAGCTATGTCATCGAGAATATCGTATATGGTCAGTAGTTAACTATGTTATTTACGCTATCAGGCGCTCGATAGATGGTTGACAAATGTGATATGGTATGCTCGTAGTCCTTTGAAGAATATGATAAAGGTTGCCGGAGTCGATATGTTTCAACTTATCCTGTGAATAAGCGGATCACTGGTTACCAGTGTAGCACGGTGCCGGCGACCGGTGCGCTGCGTTTTGTGTCTCGGAAAACAGTCCGCAACCAAACACGACGGTGCCGCCCACACCTTGTGGAACTTCCATACAGTTTCCACTTATAATCATAATTGACCTTCGAGCATTGACTCTTCCAAACGTTAGCAGGATCATCAGTAAAGAACGCACTTAAGAAACAGGCATGTGTACGGTCATCATAGAGATTGACGTAGATATAAAGCTCATAAGCCTCAAACGAGTCACGTATATTGTCCGTTGCCTTATCAGCAAACTTCTCAGGAACGGGCACAAAGAGTCGCTTCGCCCGCGCAGGAAGACACCGTGGAATACCTCACCTGAAATATCACTGAATTTCTCAGAAATTTTCTGGAAAATTCGAAATATTTCACTATGAAATATTTCAACCCCCCTTATTAAGGGGGGTTGATCACCTACAGTGGAATCTGAACCGAGACGATCACGGGATCAGAGCAGTTCCGTGGGGTGCTGCGCTGGTGATCACCGGCTGATCCCCGACGCAGAAAATATATTGCAAGATTCATGATGAACGATTCATCTATGAGCTCAGGCTGTTCGGACTCCGAACTCTGGTATGAACAACCTTGCACCCGTCGGACAGTCACGTCCTCCGGTTTGCTCCAAGAGAAGTCAGATATTCCAGGACCAATTATGGCTTAGATCGTCCGGGTCTCGGGTTTGACTGTAACAGTCCAAAGAAGAAAAACCAACAACAGTTGTTGGTTTTTCCTCTTTGGCATCACATACAGACCGAGCGGCCCGAGCGTTCAGCGCCGTTTTATGAGCTATATCGATGCATTCGTACAGTAGAGATCAGTTCACGGTGCATTAGTTTATGCTCGTGACATCTCGTAGTCGTTATTTCCGCGATGTCATCGCCTTCATCATCGTGTTCGGTGCTCGAAGATGTGCGCATGGGGGAACTCCCGCAAGAGCATGTGAAGTCGGACATCACAGGTGGCCACTTCGCCACCGCTTCGCCAGAATAGCGCGGTCGACCTCTTTTGTATTACACAAATTTCATATTGATTTCTTCAGCGTTAGCTCCTTCAGCGCCGGTGGATGACGAAAGTCAGTGATTGCAGTGGCTGTATGACCTCGCGTACCAAGTCCAAACCGCATCTCCCAAAGGACTGACAATTCCGAATTGTAGAACACAACATGAAGTAAAGAAGGAAGAAGACCTCTGAGTCGAACGAAATCCCAATGGTATATTGCGAAACATTCATCTAGCTTTGAACCATTAGCGTCGTCTGATTTAGTGTAGCTCAAGCTCATCTGCCTTGATAATCGAAGCAGACAATAATGGATTCGACTATTCTGAACTGAATGAGATATAAGCGGAAAAATTTGAGGATACGAACTGCACGATCCACTGATCACATATCTGGCTCTATAGAAAGTACTATTTTTTCCAAACGATTCTTCCCAAATGCCATCTTTATTAGTCCATGATCTCCCCACTCTTCGTTCCACGAATTCACCGCCAACCAATATTCTCGACCGGAAGCACCTCCCCAGCCAATAATTTTGATTGAATGCGAGGTGCTGGATTCCTTGGTCGTTGGCACGTAAACTCCAGACTTGTAATATCTGAAATCTTCGTACATTTTGAAGGAGCTCAAGACCTGAAATAACAAAATGCTCCAATCATAACATCGCCCCGTGTATGCATCGAAATCGCATTGTACTTGCAGCAACTTTGGTCTGAACTCGTCTGACCGTGGGCTCGAGCTATTCATCCAAGAAAGATTCTACGCAATCGATACTTGGTGCAGCGTCCATCATTCTTGAGATCACATGAATGAGGATGAATCCCTCCTATGGTAGGAGCTCTACCAACTGATAAGAATATGCTCAAACTTCAAGAACTTCATGAAAGTTTCACAGGAGTTTTGAGAAGTTTCCATTCCCGAGTCCAGGTCACATGGACTGAGCAGCTTACTGGGCCATTATCAAATATCTCCTGCTTGATGCTCTGAGCATCATTTAATACTTTCCTCCAGCTTTTCGCTCGGTGAACATCTCTGACGTCGAAACGAATATCAGCTCCCCACCTGAGTTCCTCTCACTTCTCTAAGCTTTTCTTATATGCCTTGTTGGTGCATGTTGTTCGACATGGAGGGACAGGCTGCTGAACCACCTACGGTCAGAGAACTTACCATACGGGATCCTGCGATTGACTCACATCCTTGCATTTCGGGTATCCAGTTCGGAACTGGCAGTTCCTTCCGTTGGTACATGATTGCACTTCTGGAACGGATACGGCCAGCAACCATCAGCCTCACTCAGTTGTTCTTGTGGTTTGAAGTCATTACCTTCAAAAGTTAGGATTGATGTTCATGGATCAGTTGATCTGTAGCAGAGATTCCTACCAGTCACGACACCATGATCTCGCAAAAAACTCATGGCTTCAACAAATCTCCCACCATTGCAGCCCTTCGCACTGAAAATGAGATATGTCTCAATTTTCACTCACATTGTGAAAACAAAAAAGCGATGCCAATCAGCCATTATTCGCGGTTGGAATTTACTGGAGGCATCCATGTGCGGGATTGCAGCAAGAAGTGACGTAACCAGCGGACAGAATCTCCTGGATTTTGCCACTGGACTAGATACACAGGCGATCGTTTAAGACTTCAGTGGGACATACTGCCCAACAGTTACCACACAATCCTTGATCTCTGAGCGATACATCCTTATCAGGAAGTGACCGTGGAAGCAGCAATGAGGACCACCTCACATGACCAATGATATCGCGGCAATAGTTGAACTTTTGACGGGCGTCGAATTCCGGCGGCAAATCCTCTACCACTGGCTTAGTGGACTCGACAAGACGAATCTCCTCGTCGGAACTCTCGAAGAATGGGCATCCTCGAGGAAAGTCTTGAACTGACATACCTGTGAGCAAGTGGTCTCAGACTTCAAGTTCGTCACTTGAAGAGGCGTGACTGAATGAATGCCTGAATCTGTGACATACCCCTGAAACGCGGCTGATCCTTTGAAGCAGTCCATGAATCCTGCATCGAGTTGATAGTATCAACTACGGATTGCAGTAAGACCGGCTTGGTGTCGTTGAAGATTTCAACCAAGCGCTCAGGCGATGTGCCTGTCTGCAGAAGTTGCTCTTTCACCTGATTTGTGAAACGGTGAAAATGCTGCTCATCTTCGTCGGGAGTATAGACAGACCCTGACAAGAGGACAGTAGCTTTGAGGCCAGAAAAGTATCCCCACCAGAATTCTTCATAATGTGATCGAATAGGGCTCGGGGATTCAAGTCGTCGCCCCAAGCTACAAGGATTAGGAAACATAGCGAGATGGTCAAGGGATGACCAATCATTTTGCATAAACCTAATGTCACGAGCTGATGGAAAACGGCTAGTAGCCGTTGGCTTCGGTATCCTGCAATTAGATTCTCTCCGGATGGAAACCATTTTCATGCCCCATGAGGCTTATAATTGGTCTATCTCTTATCGAAACGACCAGTGTAGTTAAGTCTTAGTCCGACTTTGTAGGTCACGCAAGCAACGGCTACGCTTAGGATGACCGATTGGACCGATGAGCATTGGATGCGTGCGTGTGCGCACGTTCGCATGTGTTCTTGGGATGAGCCTTCGTGGTGCTTCGTCTTTTTGAGCATTCTACAGAGCTCGTTTGCTTACGTCGCTTCCCGACTGTTCTGAGCTCGAGTTAGCGAGATCGTAGTCAGAGTTTTGTACGAGAAAAACTCGGGTAAACTCAGATTTTTATGGGAAACCGTGAATAGTCAAGGTGTTTCCTCGCTCTCCCGGCGTGGTTTATTCTTTTAAATGGTCAAGGCACGGGCGTGAACAAAAATTATCCCTAAGCTTGGTGTCCCAGATTATTACTGAGTATCATTAAACTTGAAAGTTCAGCGGAGTGTTGCGGCAGTGAAATCACCTCTGGAACGAGAGATTATGCAATCTGGAACGCACCGCGCAGAGCACACAATCTGCACGTGCGTACGAGCACATGCGTGCAAGATACGTGTGCGACTATCATATGGAATTTAACCTAACATTTAAATTTGGAGCAGCAATGCAACACTGGCCTGGTGCGCTTTAACGTCCTCTGCGGAGAAGTATAGCTGACTACGTTGGGTAGTCTACTTGTTGATTCGACACATTGGGGCCGGGAAGTGGCTGAGAGATCGGCCATTCCAAGTAGGAGTCTATGTGGTGACTGGCGCTTTTAGCGGAAGTGGAAGTGTGAACTTCCGCCTCGTTCATGCCTACATATACGTCTGTGCTAATTCACGAATCCGGCGTGATGTTGGCAGACGAACTATCATAACTTAGTTCGGCACACGTCCTTTGTAGAAAACGTTATTTGTCCACCATAGGTAGTCTACCGGCCCAACCGGCCTGGGAGATGATCAAGAAAGGACGTCGACCATTCTAGCCGGCGTGAGACACTACGGTATGACTAGGGCTTGCATTCGGGGGTAGAAGTGGAAACTTTCGCCTCGTTCATGCCAAATAGACATTGTCAATCCCCAACATTCTCTGTGGCGAACGCGGCCCAGCGGGACTGGATTGTGGCTGAGGAATTGGCCACTTCAAGTACTGCGACCAACTGAGTGTTGCGTCGGTCAAGTGGGACAACGAAGTGGCCGAGAAACCACCGTTCCAAGTACTGTAACCAACTTCTGAGTGTTGCATCGGTCCTTTGGGGCCATGAAGTGGCTGAGGAATCGGCCATTTAAAGTACTGTGAGTATTACTCGCTGTGTACGCACACTGCGCTCAGCGCAGGGCGTTTGTGCGCAGTGCGCTGCACTCAGTGCAGTGCACTGCGTGCAAGATACGTGTGCGACCATCCAATGGAACTTGACCCAACAATTCCTTGTTCACATGTGGAGCAGCAATGCATCACTGGCCTGGTGCGATTCAACCACATCCACCCGACCTGGGGGGTGTGCGCCGAGCCCGTATCGGTGTGCAACGAGTAAAACCTAGTTTACAGTGTAAACTTTACACCATGCGGTCCCTGTCACATAGAACCTTTCGCGCATCCGCAGGTTATGGATTCCCCGATTGCCAGTCTCCAGATAAGACAATAAGGCTACTAGTTTGAGACTTATCGCAACGTTGAACGTTGACTGATTGGCAATCTCGCGCACACTTGGAAATCCAGCCTTCGTTGAATGGCGCCTCGGTTCTCCAATTCAACACTCTCGAGTCGGAGGGACCTTCACTGGCCGAGTTAGTGTCCTATTTGACTTGCTGAATGTCCTAGATTCCTCATTCATGTAGATGTTCCTAACATCTCTATGAGTTGCTAACATCATGTTAGCGCTTGTACGAGAGTTAGCACTTCCCTAATAATTCGCTGAGAAGTGTTCGCACTTTGAAGACCTCTCGCACTCTTATAAGCTCTTCGGTTTAGTCTGTAGCCGGCGCTATGAGGCTCGCGCACGTGGGCGTGCGCAGACTGCAACCGACGCCTGTCACGTCTTTGGAGACGCGACGCCTAGGCCCAGGCGGAGCGTCACCCACGGCTCCGCTAGCTTGATGGTATTTATCTCTCTCTCCAATCTAGCGATGTCTATCTCAAGTTCGTCAATTCACGGGGAAAGTGCTGAGGGCGCGGACCACATGGCGCCCAGAGCCCCAGGCTTTCTTCCTCCGCCGGATGCTCTAGACGAGCTTGATGCCGCCACCACTGAGCTCTTTGGTCTCCTTGCCGCTCCGGCTGACCCGCCCGGCGACGACCCCACCGCTCCCTCTGCTATCGTCAAGGACGAGACCGATAAGGCGCTCAAGCTCGAACGTTTTTCTGGTTCTCCTTCTTCCATTCGTTTGGTGGAATGGCGCCGTCGCTTTAAAGGTTTGGCTGCTGTTCGTGCTTGGCCGTGGGATACGGTCCTCGTCAAGCTCAAAGCTTTCCTCACGGGCCCGGCAACCCGTCTGATTGACGTCTATCAGCCCCCCGATGATCCTCGCGATGCAGCCGACGCTATCCGGCGTGCTTTCGACAAGGCCTACGGCTTTACGGCTTCTCAGACCCTTTATCGTCTCCGCACCGTCTCCTACTCTCCAGGCTGGAGACTCCAGCCCGCGGCACTAGCGTCGACGAGCTGGCCGGTTCTATTGTCGAGTGGGTTTCAGCTGCTTGGAACTTCCTCGAGACCAAGGCTCGCGATGCGGTCGCTGCTACTATCTTCTGGTCTGCCTTGCCCCGTACTAGCCAAAGCTTGGCTAATACGGAGGACCTCCGTACCAAACCAAGCATGTCTACGGCCAGCTCACAGCTGGTAAGCCTCTCGGAAGTCTGACGCTCGTCGCTTTCGTGGAGGCTGCGCGCCCTCCCTTCGAAGAAGAGCGCGACAGTGTCGCGGAGCTGGGCTTCGTCGCAGCTTGCGACGATAAATTATCAAATTCGACATTCGAATTGTGCAGCACAATTCGAATCTCGAACGTGATAATTCATGGCTGACTCAGGAGGCGCCTAATTGAGTTTCTCTTGCTCTGCTAGTACTTCTTGCAATCTTGCTCGATCACACTTGGTAATGATGACTCGTCGTTGATGAGAACGTACAACATATTACTCGCACTTTTTGCCATTCGTCTTCCACTAGTTCTTTTCCCGCAAGCAGATCATAATGACACATCAACTGATTCATGCCCTACCTTTTCTTCGCGACGAACTGTCTCGCTCTTCCCAGTGGGAGACACATTAGTATCGCTTTTGGTCTAATCAGGAAAAGTGTGTAGACTAGGAATTATCATTCCACCTAACCCAATCGCTCGCTGCATGACAACAACTGGGCTAGACTCAGCTAAGATACAGTGCGTTCGAGTTTGATAGGCAAGTAATGAAAGACGATACACTTCAGGATTCAACGCGACTAACACAAGCCAACACATGCTCTTAATTCTTCCGAATCTTTCAGCTATCCAGTGACTGGATTCCAGTCTACTGTAAGATGAGCCTATTCCCTTTACATTATACACTTATTGGAATTGGGTTCCTCCTTTCTCTCCTTTTCCATTTTGGAAGAGATTTGTCTTCCTATATCCTCTTCCTGAAGTCCAACAATTGATCTCTGCAGAACATTCGAGGAGAAGTTCTCCTGGAGAACTCATGACTTTCTCAGTCTTTCATTCCTCACTGATTCTTTTAATACTTCGCAGGGTCTCTCTGAAGGCTTCGCGCTGTGACGGCTTCTTCAAAACGGTTTTAGTTACTAAATTTAGTAAAATCGAAAACTGTTCTATACCCTCGATTCACAACTTCAGCTCATATCTGTCCACAACGATAGTTGAAACGAGCATTGTTAGAAAGACACTCTCTCCTTTGTGACGTGCTCCATGTCGCAAGCACGATTGAGTCAATCGGGTTGACCATGAACATGGAAGTTAGACACATATGAAACTTGCACCGGGAACGCTGTAGTAGTAGACTTATTCAAAAGTTCACACGAATATGTCATCAGCATGATGCTGACAGCATCGTGGCAAGCTGCTACCAACAATTACCCGAGACAGGGAAAAATCTAAGAGCGCAAGGCTTGGCAGAACATACCTCTCAGCCACCGTGAGGGAGCTCTCAAACTCGACTCAGCTGAAGGGAACCCCATCAGTCATATTTGAATCCGACCCTCTCTATTCGCCTCTACGGCTAGAAATGTTGTACACAAGTGTCTGTCCTAAGGCCTCGATCCTTGTGATTCTTGTCGTTCGGCTAGCGTATCATATACCTTATGATGACTCTGTTGATCATGAGTTCAGAACCACTTGCAGGGTTGGTTATTGCGTGAAAAATACTCATACTTTTCATGAATGAAATAAACGGCTTGAATTGAATGAAAAAAATGGGAAACTAATGGTATACTAATGATCTTCATTAGATGATATTTACCTCTCAGTAAAATCTGCTGAGAAGTCAATGTCAACTAAGATGCTGAATCAGCATCTGTGGATCGAACTCGACTAAAGCGAGTAACATAAAGGTATAGTAAGTACGAGCGGATGTTCTAACAGAATTTCTTCCATACAAGGCAGTATAGATGCATTACGTTTTACGCGTTTTACGGCTCCGGAGCACGCTTCGTCTTGCTACGAACTTCGTAGTACTTCGTAGACAGTGTTTGGTCTTACGGCTGCCTAGTACGAAGCCGTAGGACCAAACACTGTCTGAACATTTATCTGGTAAAAGAGAGATTTTCTTTCACCTCAATGGTGACTCACCATTGGGGAGGCCACGTAAGAACGAACATCTCATCCACCAGTACTTCGTCGAAACCGGCTCTCGGAGAGATTCTGGAGGATCCGACGAGAGAAAGAAATATATCGATGTGTTTACAATTCAGAAGTTCAAGCAACTGGGAAGGATAGTTACTAGCTAGCAGCTAGCTAGTAACTATCCTTCTCAGTTGCTAGCCCGAATTAGCTGCTAACTAACAATATGCGATCAGATTACTAAAATAATGCCAGAAACACCCGATTGGAGGCGAAAACATAGCTTTCAATCAGGCAGTTCGAACATCTTTAATTCTGGCGGATAACTCTTCCTTCGATGGAGTGTTATCCGCTTAAATTGGCTCGATGGGGGAACAACCCGTTGGAGGCCCGCCAGCCTGGGCGAGAATCTCATCCGCTTGAATTTACCATGACACCAAATTGTCAGTGCATTACGACTTTCGTAAGGGAGTGAAAGAAACGGATGATCGGTTACTTCCTTTATAGTGCACACGATATCTCGTGAATAGTCGACACATCTATCCATCTCTCTCTGTCCCCTTGTGCCAGTGTTAGCAGCGCTGGCCCTGTTGATCGATATCCTAAGCTCTGCTTAGCTTCTATGTGATATAGTCTAGCGTTGCCTATGGCAACTTGCTATACTACTTGATAACTACCAAATCATTTCTCTATGACTGAGACAAGTGTTACTTCAAGTGGGGGTGAGGGAGGCAAGACGGACAAAGACCAGCAGCAATAGTGTACTTGTTAAAATGGGGACTCTAGAATTACGGTACATTTTTCACCATTTGTGGCCAGCTTTAGAGTATTTTTTGGTCTTTTCTCGCATTTTTTCGCATTTTTCAGTTTTTTTTCATTTCTTTCAGCTCCGTTTTTTTCATGCGAAAAACAGAATGACAAAAATGGAAAAAAACTCGCGCGCTGGGAATAACCAACCCTGACCACTTGTTAACTCGTCGTTGTCCGTATTTCATTGTCTCTGAAGCCGGTTTCATCACTGTGATAATATCGCACATTTATCCAGAGAATCAAAGACGATCATGAGTCCATCCAATCCTGAAATCGTCAACACCCAAGTCATTGATACAAAATGGACAGGACTAGAACAACATCATCATCATGACAACACCGATCAGCTCGTGGACACCGTCTGTCGAATAACAGCACCATCACGAATAAATGAATGCGCAAAAGTATCTGATCTCCTTTTCATTCGTCTCCTCACTTCTTTTGACACAAAATTCAATCTACCACGGAATAACACAAGGTGTCTCCTACCAGTTCTTTGATCGAGACCAGTCTCGGACGGTCCCAAGGACTTGGCAGCTCTTTCCGCCTCAACAGCTCGGCTTCTACAATCTTCCAAACGCAGCGCTTTCAAACTTATCTGACCAACGTGCATTGACCCTATAGCGATGTGGGAGTCCATAGAATCGAATGATATAGACCTGGTGGTGTTAAAAATATGAACACCTTATCTGACCAACATGCTATCCGTGATAATACATTTCATCACGGATAGGACTAAGTGGTTCTAAATAGTCGTAAAAGGTACAAGTTTGAATCGTATAACAGTGAAAAGAAATCAATAAACATCTATCGCATGCGGAAGTCATTTTGAATCATTAAATGTAATGACACCCTCTCTCACTTCCTGAGCTCTCTTCAACTCGAAAAGAGATTGATGACCAAAAGGAACATGAAAGTTTCAATTCCCCTTTGGTCATCAACCTCCTCGGTTGCTTCGGAAAGGCGATCAACCATACGCTGCAGACGACTCGTCACTGAGAAACCTGAGACAAAAATGGACGAGCAAAAACACATTCGAGCATTCCCACTTCCACGGGAACTCCTCCATAATCATTTCAATGACCTCCGTGGAAGGCACGTCTGTCTCCGGACTTGTAAACAAATTCGCAACTGAATACAAAATGACCATGATCACGACATCATTCGTATCTTCCAGCCGACAATCCCACATACCACATACCAATACATATAAGATACCACATACTTGGCGAAAAATCGGCTTCATCAGTCGCCAACTCCCTTCTCAGCTCCTCCGTCGAGCACCCCTCCTCATTGAGTAAAGACACAACTCCCAAATCTTGCGCATCTATCAGGAATTATCAAGTTATCAACCGCGTCTGATCACGAAGGCTCTCACGATATGATACCGTGAGAATCTTCGTGATCAGACGCGAGGTTAACATAAGCCTGTGAGCGATTTGCTCATGCGCTGTTGTGTAGCATGAGGGCGGCC